CCTGCTTTCATACTTGTCATGGATGTCTCCAGACAGCTCCACCCGGCAGAAATACCTTTCACTGTCACTCCAGGTCAGGTTGTCAATCCTGATGGAAAGGTCCTTGTGCCGGGGGTTACCCAGCAGCTTGTATTTGTTTTTGTAGCTGATGGCAGTCTTACAGAGCTCACTGGCACTCTGACTGATGCACTTGAAAACTACCGTGCCATTGTAAGGCTCCTTGATCCTCCAAATGGCAGTGAGGGTCCTCTCAAATGTCTTGTAGGGGTGTGTGAAAGTACAGGGCAAGATGACCATCTTCCCAAGCTCACCAGTAACGTCAGATGGGACATGAACAGACCAGCCATTGGACTGCACACCTAGAAGAAACAAGAGGTGATCAAGGCTGATTTATCTGGAGGTTTTAAGAAGGAAATTGGTCATTTCCTTCTGTGCCTCTGCTGTGATGCTGCTCAGAAAATGGATGGTCTGTTCCCGTGGTGGGCCCTGTGCTGTTTGATGTTCTTGCTGAGGACTTGCAGATGATTGTGCAGCCCAGTTACTGGGGCTGGATTTGGTACCAGTCTGCAGCAGAGCTCAGAGGACTGACTGGCTCATGTTGCAAGTGATTTAGTTCTTAAGCAGGCCTCATGTGTGACAAGTGAACAACAGCAGCTGGAGTTATTTAACACAGTCTTTTGCAGTAGAAAGATACTTATGTGCTTGAAGGAACAGACTTTTCCTCCTTTTTAAAAAAATAAATAAATTGAAAAAAGCCTAGAAATGAAGGTTTTGTACATATTCAGAGATCTGGTGGCTTTAGGCACTGAAGTGCAGCAGCCCTGCATTTGGGTGCATGCACACACACTCCTGTGTTATAGTGTTTGTTACACTAACCAGCTGGTGGCTGCCTTACCCCTGGGGAAAGTTCTAACAGCTGACATTTCTAACCATCAGTGCTGCTATCATTGCAAAGCAGCATTTTATCCAAAAGACGTGACGGGATCTGAATAAAGAGTTGGAGGTACAAGGACTGGGTGAGAACAGGCAAGTCCCCTACACTAGCTCCTGTGGTTGGAAGGAGGGTGCCCTTGGTGGTACAGAAAGCATCTCCCTGGTAGCAGAGCAGGTTGTCACTCTGTGGATTCCAGCTGCCAGTATCTTCCCAGACAGGCCTTGTCCTGGTGTCATGGCAGGAGAAATCCTGAGTTTTCTAGTTGCAATATTACAGATGGTTGGAATTTTGCTCTCTTGGCCAATTTGATCACAATAAATCCTAGTGCAGTCTGGGGAGCTGAACCTTGTTGCCACCAGGCCCAGGCTGACCCTTTCTGTCTGGTGATGATAACAACCTTCATCTGACTGGACACTTCCCACCTCTGAAGTGTATGGGGAAAACTCCGTGTTTCACAGAATCACAGACTGGTTTGGGTTGGAAAGGAGCTTAAAGATCATCCAGTCCCAACCCCCTGCATGAGCAGGGACACCTCCCACCAGCCCAGGTTGCTCCAAGCCCCATCCAACC